AATCTGTTCATTCCATGATGAAATCCTAAAAGGGGAAGCTTTTAAAGAAAGCTCACCTTATAAAGGAATGAAATTCCAGTAGCTCTTCTTTATTGAAAGTGAAATATTACCAGTCACAAACCAAATGCAATGGCCATAGCTATTGGCAAATTGCTGGTTCACAACGATGAAACCCACAAAATCATCCAGTACTCTTATAAGTTACTCTTTAGAGTTAGCTAATAAGTTTCATCCACACAAAAAAAAGTGAAAATAAGACAAAATCCATGAATCTGTGACTTAATTATACCAAACAGTTGTTTTAAAAGTTTGCAAAGGATAAGACCCAAAAGAAAAGCCAATTGACCATGAATCCATTTCAGAAAGACATCTGAAGATGTCAGCAAAGTATCTGATTTCTTCAACACGGACTTTCAGACAGAATTTAAATCCAACAACCTAGTGTAATTGACTGCTCAAGTTCTCTTCAAAGAATCAACGTTGGGAAACCATCATGAAGAAAATTTGTATATAATTTTCTCCAAACTGAAGCCTCCCTGGCTTATCTTAAATCTTTAGGAATTGTGTAAATTTTTTAAAACCCAGGACCACATTGAAAAATGAGAAGGCACACTGTTGGTGGACAAGAAACCATAAGGAGCCCCGGAACAAAAGAAAGCAAGGGAATAGGACTAAACGACACAAGCACATCCCCAAAGGCACATGCTGCACAGAATAGGGAAGGCTGTAGGCGACCGGAGACCAATGGGGTGGACAGGAGGAGAGCTCAGGGCTCCACTGGGGCTGAGCCACAGGCTCATGGTTAAGAAACAAGTAGAAGCAATAGGAGGAGTGACCAACCTTTCCATATCCCCGACTCTTCCACCAATAGCTGTAGCAACCCCCAAGTAGAAGCAATGAGAGTGGGAACTTAACCAGAGAAAACCAGCCATGCTAGGTGCTGGTGGCACCCTAAAGATATGGGGACCCCAAACAGGAAAAAGGACATTCTCACTAGAGATCATGGTAATTAAAAATTGATTGTTGGAAGGGAAAAATTCAGTATCTGGAAAAACTACTGAAGTGCAAAGCACTAAGTAAACCAATTCTCCCATAATTCAGCACAGAGGACAGGCAAATGTAAAGGGTCACAGAAGGCGAGAGGCATGGAGGGTAGAGCCAGAAGTAGGAATATCCATCTAAATATGTTAGAAAATTCTTCCAAAACTGACGACATAAGCACTCTTTTTGAAAGAGTACACTGCATGTCAAACAGAATATATTTTCAAACACACACACACACACCTTGTTATACTGTGGTAAAATTTAAGAATAAGATGGATGAGGAAAAAACCCTGAAGCTTCTAGAAGGAAAAGAAAAGCATATCAAAAAGTCAGCATACAAGATGAAAGAGATAAGCATCAGACTGCCCTCGAGCTGTCAGTCTCAACAATGAATACAAGGAGACTATGGTACAGTATCAGCAAAGTTCTAAGAGGAAGTTATTCTGGGTGCAAAATTTTATCCTCAGTCCATCCCATTGAGAAGAAAAAAGGCAAGCTGATTTTCCACCAAGCAAGAACTTGAAGATTTTATTTTTTAATGTATCTGAGAGAAATACTAGAGGATACACTCCAGCAAAAAAGAAAAAAACACCCCAAAAGGAAGTACTAGGATACAAAAGTCAGTGATACACAAAGAAATAGTAAATCTTCAAAAAAGTCTACTAACAATCTAAAAATGAATCCTAGATAATAACAATCTGAGAGTTAGTGGGAGAAAGTAAAGGAAATAAAAGTATATTTCCTGTCCTATTGGGGTATAGCACAATTGGCAAAGAATTTAAATAAAAATTTTAAAACGCCAGTTAGGATGGCCAACATAGAAAAAGAATAGGAACAACAAATGCTGGCGAGGATGCAGAGAAAGGGGAGCCCTCCTACACTGCTGGTGGGAATGTAAACTAGTTCAACCATTGTGGAAAGCAGTATGGAGGTTTCTCAAAAAAATCAAAATAGAAATACCATTTGACCCAGGAATTCCACTCCTAGGAATTTAACCCTAAGAATGCAGTAGCCCAGTCTCAAAAAGACATCTGCACCCCTATGTTTATTGCAGCATTATTTACAATAGCCAAGAAATGGAAGCAACCTAAGTGTCCATCAGTAGATGAATGGATAAAGAAGAGGTGGTACACAGTGGAGTATTATTTAGCCATAAGAAGAAAACAAATTCTGCCATTTCCGGCAACATGGATGGAGCTAGAGGGTATTATGTTCAGTGAAATAAGTCAGGTGGAGAAAAACAAGTACCAAATGATTTCATTCATCTGTGGAGCATAAGAACAAAACAAACTGAAGGAGCACAACAGCAGCAGACTCATGGAACCCAAGAATGAACTAACAGTTGACAAAAGGAAAGGGACTGGGGTGGGTGGGTGGGAAGGGAGGGAGAAGGGGAATAAAGGGCATTATGTTTAGCACACATAATGTAGCATGGGCTGTGCACAGGAAGGCTGTATAACACAGAGAAGACAAGTAGTGACTCTATAGCATCTTACTATGCTGATGGACAGTGACTATAATGGGGTATGTGGTGGGGACTTGATAGTGGGGGGAATCTAGTAACCACCATGTTGCTTATGTAATTGTATATTAATAATACCAAAATAAAAATAAAAATAAAAATTTTTAAACACTACAGAAAAACAGAGGACACCAATAAGTAATTCACTGAAGAATAAGTACAATGTCTATTAAACAAAGAAAATACTCAATAATAACCAGCAAATGCAAACCAAAAACCATACCATATTTTAGACAAAAAATAAGAAGTTTGATAATTTCAAGGTATGTTTTGCTGGAGTGGCTGTACACTGGTGTAACCATTTTTAATGTGCAAACCATATAAACCAAAAATTCCACTTTCTACTATGCACTATAGAAAAACCTTTGTAACCATATGCACATACAAAGCATATGTATAATGGTGCTTGTTGAAATATTTTTATAGTAATGAAAAATGGGAAATAAGCTAACTGCCCATCACTATGGAAGACAACATGATTGACACATTACACCATGAAGACCATGCAAAGATTACAAAGAGTATGATAGATCTGTGACTGCGGACCTGAGCTGGTCACACACAAGAAAAAGGGAAGCTATAAGTGTAACCTAAGAGGTCCTTTTTATAACAACATGTATCAGCATTACTTGTACAATTATAAATAAGTAAAATACACTGAAAAGAAAGTACAAATGAACAGAGAAATACAAAACAGGTCAAGAATAAGCAGCATAACTCTCTGCATCACCTTTTATAATGTTGCTTTTTGAAAAGCACTGTTGACCCAGACATTAAATGTGGATGTACTCTTTCAGTCACACGCATATCCTCCGACAGTGGATTACAAGTCTCTCTCTCAGACATACGATACATTGACTAATGTGCAGGAAACAAAAAATTTTTGAAAATTGACAAATGGATCAGGAAAAATTAGGACAGTCCACCTACAACACATTAGGTGGAGTGCATTACCACAGTGCTGTCAAGACAACATGGTGAAAAACTAACATTAAAAAAAGAATAGAGTTGGTTTCAGGCAAGGGCAAAGCAGGCTATTAAGAGGCTATCTGTGAAACCAGAGCTGGAGTCAGATGCTTTCTCCTTTCTCCTCTCAGCAGTTGCTGAACCACTGTGGTCGCAGCAGCCACAGGGAGCTGGGAGCTGGCCAGCAGGCCAGGTGACTCAACAATATATTTCTTGTCCCTCTAGGCAATTTCCCTCAGCAGTGCAGATTTATACCAGAACAGAGAACAGTTACCCTCTTATCAACCAGGAAAAGGTATATATATATTAAAATTTTTTTTAAGTGTCGGCTAACAAAGAAAGCAGAGGGAGGTTGGCAAAGGAACAAAGCCTGATTCCACTGTTATGAAGCCAAAGGGCTCTAGTTATGACAGAAGAAGCTGTGGGGAAAGTAATGCTGTCTTCAAGCCCCTACAACCTAATAAACAAACACTTACCTCTCCTTTTATTGCATTCCCATTAAAAATGAACAGCACGTGTATTTTCCTTAAATAAAAACTGACAATAGGGTCCTCTGAAAACAGAAACTTGGATGTTTATGGTAAATGTACAAATTCCTTTCGGATAACAGCCAGGTGCTACCTGGCTTTTTGCTGCATTACCAGTCACTAGGCCAGAAGAGCAAATGTAACTGTGAACTGATTAACTGGCTAACTAATGGATTAAAATTTCAACAGAGGAATAATATGCATATGTGGGTATTGTAAAGGCACATCACAGAAGGCTTTAGCAGTAAATTCATAACCAGAACACTTAGATTTTCTTCCCTTGTAAAGACACTGACCCTCACAGAGAGCTATAATTCTATTATACGGTGGCTTTTAAATTCTGGGGATACAAATGTTAAGAGAACAGTGGGGAACAAGGGTAAAGGAGGAGATTGTAAACCCAGACATGGGGAAAAGCATATACAAGGGCAGATTTGTGCAGCCCCATCAAATGACAGAAATCTGGTAACAAGACAAGTTGAAGGGAATGTGCTGGACTGAACACGATTTCTTGTGCTGCCAGGACACCATATCACCCTGAGATCCCTCTCTCTGCATGGTCTGGGTGCCAACCAAGTATATATGTGGCCAGGGAAGTACCATACTCTTGGCAGGTAATTGTTGGATGAATGGATAGATGGGTAGATGGGTGGCTAAACAAACAAATGAACACAGATATACAGGAATAATCACCGTACTCTTTTCTCTATGCACTTTAAAGTCATCCATTCAGAATTAATATTCTGCTTGCAAAGAATATTCGGCAGAGTCACTCCCAGCTGATTTCTCTGAACTGCACACAAATGTTGCCTGACCCACTCGAGACATCAACAGCGTACTCTATAAAATCTGGGTAGTGATCATCTTCCCAGACTCTGCCACACCAAGGCGATTAGAATAATTAGTTGCAAGTGGAACTCATTGATTTAAAAGTAAATTACCACAATTGGGTATCTGCAGGTTTGCCATGGGAATATTCTTGCTGCTTTCATTTAGGCAGTACAAATCCTGAGTTTCTGGACTGGACTTAATCTCCTGAAGAGTCTTGATCCACATAACGTCACAGGAGCACGTAAATGGATTGCCCACCAGGATCCTAGGTGGAACAGAAATGGAACCTGATCAGGCTTCTTGTTTCTAGTTTTAACTACACTAGTGTTCATGAAGCACTACAATAGTATGAACTCTTTCTAGCCAGCAATCTTTGGAGGTCATACTCACCTTTGCAGCACAGCGTGCTTATTATTCATTCATTTATCTAATACTTACTAATCTTCTGCTATGTGCAAATACCACTGTGGAAGCTAAAGGATGCAGAGTAAGACCTTTCAGAAGAGTGCAGAAACACAACAGAAAAAATTGCTACAAGACAGGAGAGAAAAAGGCCTCACAGAATGGGGGAAAATAAGGTACCCTAACAAACTGATCACAGTTATTATATAGTTGTTAAGACCTTAAGTGAAGAGAACAATAAGCTTTTAGGAACGCTAACCTGCCTCTATCTGACCAGGCTTGAAGTGTTACTATTTAATAAGCCCAAATGTCAAGGTGGTGGAGGGGTGGGGAAGAGGAGAGCAATTTCATCTTAGTTTAAAATGAGACGTTAAATACAATGCTAAGACTGAAATGGGAGAGCCTGTAAATAGCCCTTTAGCTTTGTGCAAGATGCAATCCCAGGGCAGCTCAACTGAGCTCCAGACTCAGCCACTTAGCCCTCTGTGGGAGGGTCTGCAAAGAGAAAGTCACCAGCCAGGCAGGCCGCCCGGCCTCCTGTGGCCTGTGATTGGTGAAGGAAGAAGCAGTCAAGAAGAAAATAAAAACCACAAGAAAAAAAATTCTTTCAATGCTTATTTATAATACTCAGTGGCCTATTTAAGATGAATTCCATTTATGGTAATGAGCTTTAAATGAGGCCATTTAAAATCGTTACATAGGCGCTGCCTGGCATTAACCACAATGCTTAAGATTTCCGTGCGGACAGGACCTGGGCTTTGCAGCACCATTACTCCTGTGGTTTTCTGGTTGGGTTCTAAGAATCTCAGGGTTCCCTGGAGATGTTTCCAGGAGTTTCTTTGGGGAAAATGTGGTCATGGCAGGCTCACTTAATTTGTGTCTGCTTGATAGCCTTGAAGTGTCCCTCCAACACCAAACAGGATTTGATGCTACTGGATATGTAGTACAATAGGGAAGAGACCCACAATGTTTAAACATCAACTAATTAAAAATTTCCTGGTGATCTGAGTACATGAAAACAAAAGATTTTTTGTAAAAAGGAGGTATGATTGAATCCAGAACAGGGATAAAGAACAAGGGATCTTTAATTATAAATAAAGCAATGTTCATATGACCACACAACACTGACAACTGGCGTCTTCCTCTAGTTCATTGTGCAAACGCCTTTTCCACAGATCCTTACAGCACAGTACACTGATTTGTTTAGGATTCTACCTCTCCCACTGGACAGCAGAATCCTGGAACACAGAAACAGCTTATCTTACATCCCCATGGCCTAGTGCCACGTTAATCTGATTTGCAACAAGCACAAAACTAACATTTGTCGAATGCACTGATTAAATATGCTGCAGGGAGAATACTGGGACATGTGAATTTGAAATCAGAACTCTAATTTTTAAGCCATCATGAAAATTCTCTGCATTGATACTCAAAATGTTCACACTGAATATCTTCCTCTATATGATATGACTTCCTTAAGTTCTTCCCACCAATTCCTGTGTTAGAAAGCTAGTGCTTCAACTCCTGGAAGTTAGTTGATTCCAAAATACTCAATAAGCCTTGGCACTCTGTACCCCTCATTGCTACATACTAACTTCTTGTCACTCAGCTAGTGGCACCTTCTCATCAGCACTACTACCTTGTAAACAGGGGTGGCCCCTACCCCTCAGGCAACCCGCAGTTTAAAGGAAAGCCATGGCCTGGGACTCCAAGGCCTGTCCACCTGGGCCTACCTCTGACACTCAGAGTCTCTGCTGTTGGGTTCTTTGGGTCTCTTACTCATGGAATGTCAACAGTTTATATTTGCTCCCTAGTGTTAAACCAAGTACTGTCCATGCTTGGAAATGCTGGCTACTAGTCATCAACACATTTCACGGTTTTCCTATCATTTGACAGCAAAGGCAATCTGGGCATAAGGAAAAATGCTGACTGCAATGGCAGAGCTAAGATAATCTCTCCAGGGCGGGCAGGTAGGAGGAAGGACTAGCTCTCCCCCAGTGTGCGCTAAGTGCCAGTCACCACACTGTGCTTGGTGGAGAAAAGCTGGGCAGTGTTGTCCGCGGCCATTTATTCCTTGACCAGATTAGCTTTCTGTTAGGGCCCCAACATAACAGGGCCCAGGGGATGCTCTGAGACGAGTCACCTTTTGACCACAGAGCTCTTTTTCTCTTTTCCCCTCCTTTTGAAAACAAATCCTTTCTGTAACAACCACATTTAAACTCATCCTAAATGATATATTACTAATGAGATTTCTGGTTTTTCATTACTTTCCTGAATCATGTTTTCAGGAGGGAATAAAAGAGCAAGTGCCCAAACCATGAGAAATCATTTATCAAGAATTTTGATATAAAAACAAGCATGCAACATCACTCATTTAAAAAATATATACATAATCACCCTTTCCTTTGGGACTTTTATCCCCCAATACTTTTTCCACAATATCATTACTTACAGCTCAGATAAGTCAAGGTGACGGAAATGTTTCCTAGACAAACTCGTCAGTTTGTTTCGGGTAAAATTGCTGGAAGGAATCAAAAACATTAACTATGAATTCTATATGTTACATTTCAGGAATAAAGCATTCACATAGAAATTTTCTTTTCAATGTATAATTTTATTTGATCCTGGTTCATGCCTTACCTAAACCCTGTAATTTCTTTCTTTAACCCGTAGTGACAGCTTAGTTGATCCTGCCTCTCCTACAATTCTTACTCCTGGGGCAGGAGGGAGGGGAATAACTTTCATGTTTGTTTTTAATCTCCTTTTTACCAAAACGTTTATTTTTCATATGCTGATTCAGAGCTGAGTAAAAGACCTCCTAGAGGTCTCTGACCTTGTGAATAATTAATAGGAGAATTTAATTTAAAACCATATACTCACTAAGGTAAAAGATGCTTTAAAACTAAAGATCATCAGAAATATTTTGTAATTAACAAGATACACAAATTCCTGAACATTAACTAAATTTAACACATTCTTATAGGAAAGAATACATCTATTGATAGATAAACTCTACTGAGACTTTGATATATGACTTCTAAATAACCACATAATTTCATGATGAGAACAATAACAACAAAACATCAAATAACAAGGAATAAGTCAGATTTTATCTGGAACTATTCCAGTGACATATCATTTTAAGGTTTGAACCAACCAGATAATGAAAAGACATCATATTTGTGATTGAAAAAATATTAACACATTTACTGACGTGTCCCAAATACATAGTTTTACTCAATGGACAGAAGTTTCAGTTTCCAATGAGAAGTGCCATGGGCCCTTGAATTGAGAAATTTAGAGCCTTAATCCTAGCAGATTTGTTCTGCAAATTTGTTTACTGGCTTAATTTATTTTAAAAGTGTCCAAAGCTTGGACTTCTAGACATGTGTTTAATAAGTAAAATGACAGTAAAACAAGCATCAACTTTTACAAAAACAGCCAAGCCCACAACAAACAAATTGCAATGAGCCTTTCAATATCTGTCCCTGCTCGTGAAGGTGAGTGTCAGCTTGGGAGTCAGATAAAAGCTGATTTGAGGGTGACAGTAATCCAACCCCCTTACTTGAGCCTAGTCTGTTGTGTCAGGCCAACAAAATCATTGGTTGAAGGATCTTGGTATGTCTAACCAATCACCTTCAGAGAAGGCTTATAGCCCAGCAGCTAAGCATGAACTAGGCTTCATCCACTGAAGAATAAAGAAAATGCTGCCTCAGCACCTCATAATTAAAAAATGCATGTGTCCATCTCCACTTAATTCTATATTGAGATTTCCACTCATTCAAACCCCTACCTACATGAGGGGCCCTCCTCCTTCTATGCTGGCGTCTTTTCTCTTCACACGGAGTGTAAAGTGTCCACCCACATGAAAAATAATCCACTGGGAAGTTGTAAAATGTGCCCACATACATCTTTTCTTTTGCAAAGTGAATTAAGAATGGGTTTCACTGGAGTATAATACACAGAAAAGTCAATCCAGCCTCCAGTCTGAGACACAAATGTTTTCATCTTCACCAGAAATCCTCATCCTTCTGAAGGGAAAGAAAAGAAAACCTACTCTTCTTCCCAAGAAGAATGAAGAAAGACGAGGCCAAGAAAGAGGACGCCAATGGTCAAGGCTGTTGGTCAGCTAGCAGAGCCAGTCCTGGGAGCAGTTGCCCTCGCTGGGCAGCCAGCCGCACAGCCAGAGTAGGGTTGCACACCAAAGAACAAGATGAGTTTTATGAACCATACTTATTGGGTCCAAAAGCCAAAAGGGAGGAGGAGGAGAGGAAGATCATCAACAATCTTCTTACTGTTTGATTATAGGTTTGCAAAGGAACTAACTAGCACTTCTGCAAAGCCCCTGGAAAACACAAAAACTGGCTTTCCTCACCACTCCTGGGTTCTCAGGGGCTGGGCAGGAATTAAAGGCACCAAAAAGTCAACTCAGTGACCAGTCACTGGGGCTCTGAACGGTCACCAGGTGACGCTACTCATGCACAGTGTAGGAGGCGGAGTGGTGAGAGCTACAGGATCCAAACTGAATTTCCCTAGAACCCAAAGTGATGTCAGCTGCTCTCGTGCACATCTATATATGGCTGGGAAACCCAGAGAGGTAATCAGTACATCCCAAGTGTGGAGCGAAACAGCTTTTAATACACATTTCTTTTTCAGCTCCCTGGCACCCACTGTGTTGCTGTTCAAAGTAGTAAGTATAATTTACTTAAATGTGGGGAATCAGGGAGATCAAGCCCCAGCCTGTGTCCTTGGTCATAAGAAGAAGTTGGGACTAGGTCTGAAAAGAAAAATACCTGATTTGATATCTTCCTTCCTCCCTGACATTCTCAAAAGCCAACTACTTAATCTCATGTTTTGGTACTTAGGAGCTTCCTGTGTATGTATATGAAGCTTCCTGACATGTTTTGTGAATTTTTCATAGCTGTTTGAATACTTGCCTAACTTCATTCTGTCTTAATAGTTGACCATGTCTACTATCAATAGAGTTTTTTGCAGTTTGACCAATAATCAGGTTTCCTGCCTTTTAAAGAAAATATATAGCACATATCCAACTCCTTGGTTTCCTATTTTCAAATGACACATCTTTGGGAGACAGGGATAGAGTTGGCTTTATATAAGTTGTGTACAGCACACAAAATGCCATAAAAATGATCCTACCATGTATCACACTGAAAAAATACACAAGGTGGCTCTGGTTTAAATATAGATGGCACACAACACAGAAAGTAGGGAAAATATAAGAGGTACAGTAAGTCTTCATATAAGTAAATAAGTCCATTACTAAAACTACAATTAACCATAGCACCTTGTGCAAACCACATTAGGGAAGGGGATGAGGTAAGGAGCCAGTGAAATGTGGTTGTTGTGTAATACGGGTCTAAAGTCAGCTGTGATGAAAATACCAGAGCTTAACCACTGAGATCATTCATCACATTTACACGACTGCAGCAGAGCATTTTGCCTTTTCCTATCCAGCTTCTCTCTTGTTTATGCTGTCAAGGCCTACGCACACATCGAATCAGCACAGGCAACCAGTGACAGAGACGATGCCAAAAAACATTCAAATGAAATGTGTTAATAAAGTTCCTTGGAGTTGTATCACATTTTTGCCAAATGTTTTATATCTTAATTCTACAGACTTTATTTTTAAGTTGACTTCATCATGCACACCACCTATAAAATATGAAGTCATGCTATCGGCCTTATGAAATTAAGGTTTTTCATAAAATCAACAAATTCCACAGAGTGTCCACGCAATCTGCTCTAACAGAACGATCTCTTTTATACCTGATACAGACATCAGGGGGGATCTATTCTCCCCCAGACATGAAAGAGGACAAGTTTGACAAGAAGGGCTAACTCTCTAGCTATCTGGAGAGTACAGATTTTATTTCCTGTGCTCTTATTGTAAGAACATGGCCAGGAGTGAGCCGTGGAGTCATAATTCTACCAATTTCAAACTGTGAACCTGAGCAAGTCTTAGAACTTCCTTAGCCTGATTTTATGTCTATGAAATGGGAATTGAAAAGATCTTCTCTCCCAACTGTTAGGAAAACCAGGTGACATAATTCAGCTGAGTCCTAGAGGTAAACTGTAGACAAGGAGACATGTAAATACTGTTGCAGAGAATTGGCAAAGCACAAAAAAGCCAGTGAAGGCAGGCAATGGTCCTCCAGCAGAAGCTCCCACTGCAGTCTCGGGGCTTAGGGGACACCAATCTGAGCTTAAGGGTGTGATCCTCTGTCTGTTGAAGAAACGTCTCAGGAAGGCCACACCTTATCGAGTGCCATCACCTAACAGATGTAGCAGCAAACTGTCCAAGTGCCCCCCCACTGTCCATATTTCCATTTGACCTCAGTTGACGGAGCCTCAACATGACTTTCGTGACAGCATCTGCCACTGTATAATTTCTGAACTTTTGGCAGGTGCCTTGATTGGTTTATCTCCACTTTCATCAGTCATGACAGATAGCTTTGGGAAAAGGAAGGTCCAGAGGAGGATCTACTATAAAGGAGAAAGCATTAGAAATTTTTAGTTCCCTAAAAATGCCAAGGGCAAGTTAAATTCTTTCATATCAACTAGTTTGATGTCTTTCAGGGAACGTGTTGTGATTCCAAGGAAAAGAATCAAGGGCGCTGTACCAGGACACAGTTTTCACATCAGAATCCTTGCTGTTGGCCTGTTGCTCTGTCCAAGATGGAAATGGCCCAGAAAGTTATGAAAGGAAATAAGCAGGCTGTTTAGAGTTGGAAAAGAAGGAATATAAACAGAGAAAAATTTTTTTTTGAATAAACTGGGTCCTGGGAAACCAAATAATCAATCTTTACTTACATGTGCTGTAAATTGCTGTTTTTCAGAAATGCTTTATGAGCCACAAATTTTAATCCGGAATCCACAATTGTCCTGTGAAAACACATAATTGCATGTATGTTAGAATTAACCAATGAAAGCCCATCTGACTATAATAACACACAAGAAAAGTTCTGAAATAAGGTATCCAAGTCCTGAGTACTCACAGATTTTTCAGTCCTGCATAAGCTTCAACATCATCTTCATTGATGATTTCTAACCTTTTCTGATTTGCAATGTAACTGTAAAAAAGCAGAGCGGGGCAACCAGTCACTCTGAACTAGGCAGTGCAAGAAAGAATGGGTGACTTCCTTCCAAACCCATTTGATGTTCAAAGCAATCCCTTCCCATACATCCTGCTCTTACCAGTTAAAAAAAAAATACAGCAAGGGGAGCAAAATTGAGTGTGATGGAGAAGAAATCATGAATGAGTGGGGTCCATGGTCAATGATGGGATCACCAGGTTTCATCTTTTCTTAATTTTTTATCATTCTTTCAACTAACAAGTTCAGTTGCCTCCCCTTTCCAATATGCCCTGTGTAGAGAGGTGAAAATAAATTGGAAATGCACCTCAAAAGCATTTCACCCTTATGGTAACAGTCATTCAAGACAAATCACATCCTTCCTTGAATTCCAAGAGCAGCAAGTCACTTCCTGCTTTCACCTCCTAAAATACTGCAGTGGACTCCTTCTGCCTCTCTGCCTCCCCTCATCTCCACTCTCTCTTTTCCTGGCCCAGGATCCTCTCTTTTTTCCTTTGTTGATAATAATACCAATTTTCCTTTTAGGAGCCATATATGACAAACCTCAATGGGCCCTAGTGTACTCTGTGGGAATCCACGGTTTGCTTACCCCCCAAATCCTCAAACACAGGAGTAAACTGGTGACGTTGGCTGGATGGGGAATCCCACCCCCTTGGCCATGATGACTGGCTTGGAGATGTGCATGTGACCCCAGCAGGGCCAAGGAGAATCTTCCCCAAAATTGAACAGATGAAGGCTGGGACAGAGAAAGTGTCTTCCTCTGGGATCATAGTTCAAAGATGATGGAGGCTTGGGGTTTCTGTGATTAATTTCTCTGCCGCAAAGGAAGAGTATCTGCAAAAGTGAAGTCACCAAACAGAAAGAAAGGGTGCTAAGGGACATAAAGGAGACAGAGCCCTGGAAATGCCACCTGAGCCTTTGGATCCCGCCATCTCTGAGGCTAGATGTCCCTAACAGAGGTTGGGTCTGAATTTTTGTCACTTGCAACCCGTAGAATCTGTAGTAATACAAACACAAAGCCGCTAAAACGACCACCACAGAATTTCCTTGTGCTAGAGTTGTCTGAGTATCCATCTATTCAGTTTTCTGAGATCGCAACCTCTCTGGAGACAGCTGGATCCTGTTCTATAATTCTTAATAATATGCACCACAGCATCTAGCAAAGTACCTTGCACTAGGCAGGTATTCAAAGGATGAAGATGGATGGATTGATGGATGGATTGGATGGACGGACAATACCTGGAGTTCCAAAAGCAGTACAGGAAGTTGTGCTAAGCTGGATTTTCCTCTTTCTTTTTCAAAAAATATGTAAGATATATAACATTCCAATTAAGACACTGAAAACAAGTATGTACCCCTGCTGCTACTAATGTGTGTTAAAATGAAAAAAAAAGTAATCAGTATAGCATCTACAGGATTCTTAGACCCAATCCAAAAAAAGAAAAGAAAAAAGATTTCAAGATGTATGGTAAGAGCTGGGGCACCCATTTTTAGAAAACAAATTTTACAAACAAAGTAAAATAAGTAAATGCTCTAAGGGAACAAAATTACACCAAAGAAAAGTAATTTTCAAAGTACCATAGTAACGTTATACCCTGTTACATAAAAGAGCAACCTCCAAGATAGAAGAGCATCTTCTGCTCAAAGATCATGATTCCCCCTGACATTCAGGCCCTGGCACTTACTAGATGTGCTGGAAGGATTCATTCCACACACAGAAGGAAACATTTTAAGACTCAAACCTAATGCTCAAACAACAATGTTCAGCATTGAGAGTTTTTATGAAATGTTTCAAAATTATCACACTTCAGATTCATTTTTCCAAGATCTTCAATGCCCTAACATTTTCAGCAGAGACCACAGTGACCTGCCTTTTCTAAATTATTTCCCAATAAGAACTGCATTCTAAAGAGCCCTAAATATGAATGCTTTTTTCAAGCCACCAGCAAAACAGGCAGATAACATGGGCCAGGTGTCCCTTAGGGTCACAACCAGGACATCCAGAGAGGAGAAGTCTGTTCACTCCTTATAACTGAACTAGCACGTGGATGTCACTCTCCCAGAGAATGCCTCCCTCCATGCCTATGACAGGGGCCTGACACCAGCAGGTACTTAGTGAATATGTATGGCACAAAGCATTTATCTTTAACTTTTCTTTTAGTTAATTTTCATTTTTATTTCACTTTCATAGACTTGTAATTTATAAACTACCCAGTAACATTCAATAAAATACAGTGAGCCAATATAAATAAAAATGGAAGGCATAGAGGAAAAGAAAGGCAGGGCAAAGATACCAGCGGAGCTAGGAACTAGCTTCATGATGAAGATGGTTGTTAGGAAAGGACCCCAAGCTCAATTCTAAGCTTTTTAGTTACTGCACTCCAGAAAAGAAGGAAAGGAGGTAAATGTAGTTAAATTTGTAGTGTTCATGAGATGAAAACCAGTCAGATGTTAAGCAAAGCATAACTGTTCTTGCATTTAAGACCAGACAGAAGATTTTTTTACAGAACATCCAAACAAGATGTGAAATTAGGAAAAATGGTCACTAGAGAAGACTCTTCCACTGTGGGGGCAGGGATGCCCTGGAGAAATCATGAATCTTTCTCCTCATCAAAATGGGAAAACCAACAGAATAGCTGGACTAAAAGGTCAGCAAGGGCCCTCCAGATGCCTAGAATTCCCTTCCCTGAGTGCCCATCTGCACAGAGGCCCACAGTATAGCTGCTGGCTATAACCTGCTCATGAAATCTACCCCTTAAGAAACTCTTCTTAGCTACCAGTAAGTGAGGAATCAGAGGACCAGCCTGTAAAGTTAATAACAGATAATTCCCAGAGGGAAAGCCTCAGTCACAACAAAACATGTGAAAAGCTGCTTCCCCCTCGAGGAATCTGAAACACAAATTGAAACAAGAACATGCCATTGCTTTCCCACTAGATGGGCAAAATATTTTAAGTCTGACAATGTAAGGCATTTCTAAGGATGTGAGAGAGTTCTCTTACATTGTTGGAGACAGTGGGAATGGGTACAAGCACTTTGAAGAACAATTTGCTGAAATCCTAGAAATTATAAATCAGCCAGCAATTCCATTTCCAGCTATTCACCTGAGAGAAATTCCCACACATGCCCACAAGGAGACGCACAAGAATATTCACTGTAAAGTGATTAGAACCAAAAGTTGGAAACAACCCAAGTGTCTGTCAATGAAGAAATGGAAAAAAAGTAAGGTGTGTTAAGTAAACAAGTTGGATTGAACCAGATCTTATATCTGAGCAGAAAGAGATCTGCATGCTAAGTGAGAAAGAAAAATAATCAAAACTGCATACCAGTATGTACATATAAAACAATTTATGTGAACTTTTAAAAATACATAGAAAACAATAGCACATATTGGTCACAGTCGAGGATATTTGTGAAGTATAAAAAGATTGTAAGGAAGGTCCCTTGGGAAAGGAGAAGGGGTCTGGGATACAGAAACTCACACTGTGAAGACATTTATTTTATTAAACTACTAAACTAACTATTTTATTAAAAGAGAAAAGACTTATAACCAAAAAGGACAAAAATGTTAAAATGCCAGTTCTGAATATGTGTGTTTAGTATTGTTATTTTTTTTTAATTACTTAAATACCTGAATATAAAGGAAGGGAGGGAGGGAGGGAAGAAAAGAGAGGGAGCCAGAGAAAGCCACAGAAGCGAACTGACTGCCCAGAAGCTGGGCTCAGAGCTTCTCAGTCAGTGGGCATATACACCTGGGCTCAAGTTCTTGGTTCCTTGATCTACGCAAAAGGGAAACCATCTGAAAGCCTTCTGCTCTCAGCCCCAGAGCCCCCAACAGGCCCACGAAGATTGAGGAGCATGCTCCTGCTGCCCACTGGTGGTTGCCACCTGCCTCCATGAGGATCTTGGCAGCACAGGCCTCTTGCACTCTGCCAGCTCACGGCCCTGATCAGAAAGGCCACGGCTGCAGAGACCAAACCTGGAGTCAGTAAGGAGAGAGGAAGGGCGGGCAGGGCAGACAACTGAGGGCTGAGCCCATGGGCAATGCAGCGGGCTGTCCCCTGAAACCATTTCCCATCACTCTGGTCAAAGTGTTGTCAAAGCCCGAAGGCTCGACGGAGTTCAGCTCTGCTTCATAAAACTCATCTCCAAGAAGGGTTTCAGTCCTAGTGAGGCAGTAGAGGGCTCAGCCTTTGGCACAAGCCTTTCTCAGAGGCTTCCTCTCCATGACAATCCCTAACTCCTCTGACTGATGGCCACTGTTCTGGAAAGCTTAAGCCACAGGAGTTTAAAGTCCAAGACGGCCCCACAGAGCTCAGGGCCCAGCACTTGTCTGACAGGAATCTCATGGGTCCAGCAGAGAGCTTCGACTCCTTACAGAAAACAGCATCTGCCCCTCAACCTGCAGATGTTGCCCTGGCTCTCAGGCCATCAGCAGTCACTGGCTTGGCTTGGATTTCTGTTGTCTGATAGTCCTGAAGATTTCCTCCAGTTACCTGCTTGGACCCCCAGACCCTGTGGCCTGGCCTCCATCCTCAGTGTCTGGAATCCTGTTGGCCTTCAACCATCCTCTTTTGCCCAAATGTGCCTGCCTCCTTTCTCAGATCCATATCAAGTCTTCTTGCTTGGACCTTCATATTAGGAGGGTTGTTTTTATTACTTGGCACTTTTAGTACATCCCAAGGCCACTATCTGCTGCCCTAAAAGTTGTATCCCATATGCAAGGGATTTCCCCATGAATTCATCTAAATCTATTCTGGGATTCAGCTTGATTTGTAGGCAAACACCTAAAAGGCTTTTTTCCAATCAGAACACTTTTATTCCAACAGTTGGCAAGCATTTGTTAGCATTTATTGTACTTCTTAACTTTGTAATTAAGAATTAGGAGGAACAAAAGTGTTCTTTGCACCCACGGTTGTATTTTTCTATTATCTGACTCCCCGCTGCTGAACTGCCAACTCCTCAGATAGAGGGGTCCTCT